TGCACATAATCGCCACAGGATTGGAAAGAAACTCTTTTGCCCTTATTTTTCCACAGCAGAATGGCATAGACAATGGCCTTTGGCTTAGGGCAGGAGCATCCTCCTCTGTCTACAGCATTCAATTGCTGTATGTCTCTGGCCACTCTTGCATGATGGTACCACAAGTGCCCCCGTTAGTTCGAGCCCAGAACAACAATATAACTCATCGGCAGGAAGTGCATGGAGCCTGCCAGAGGGCATTTCTCTGGCTGATGTGGCCAGCACGGACTGTGCTGCATCAGCGTTTCACTGCACCTTCTGCAGGAAGAATGACACAGCTTGGGCACTTCACTGCTCACCTACTGTGGCTGTGGCTGGATTGGCTCCTGAGCCAAGCACACACACGTTTCCTGCAGGAGCCCTGTTCCACAGTATGGTCACTGCAAGCGGCCACAACATAACCGGGCCAGCCAGTGAATACGTGGCATAAATAGAGGCAGGAATGATGGAGTTGTCTCGAAACAAAGAACTTTTAATGTAAAAATAACAAAAGTAGAAACCAAATGGTACCAGCAACAGCTTCCAAAGACCCCGAAACCCGGAAAGCAGATAGATGTATAGATGGGGTGGAGGGAATAAGGTCCAATCAATAACAAGGATAAGGAACAGAACCATATATGTGGCTGGCAGTTAGCCAAACGTATCTCAAAACTAAGAACAACACTTTATTTGTAACAAACTAGCTAACATATTAGTTCCCCTGAGACAACTATTCTTTCTGTTCTCTCACCATGATGGCAAGAATGTCCTTCCTCCTAGCTAGGTGTCTTCCAGGGTTTGAAGCTGAAGCTCTCTGCATCTGCAGGTGAAGCCAGCTCCCTGTTCACCTCAATTTCAACACTACAGAGTTTCTGGTTTTGGATGAATCTTGTGGGAAAAAGGCTGCAGAGAGCAGGGTACCAGTGAAATTTCCCAGGGCCTGCACATCCTCATCCTGCAAAAAGAGGGGACTGAAGAAAGCAGCAGAGAGCCTTCTTACAAGGGCAGGTCCTGATAGGACAAAGGGCAATGGCTTTACAGTGACAGAGGGTAGCTTCAGATGAGATCATAGGAAGGAATTCTTGATTGTGAGGGTACTGAGGCACTGGTATACGTTCCTCTGAGCAGCTCTGGATGCCCCATTCCTCAAAGAGTTTAATGATAGTTTTTGAGCCAGGCTCTGAGTAACTTGGTCTAGTTTAAGGTGTCCCTGCCCGTAGGAGATAGATGATCCTTAAGATCCTTCCAATCTAAACCATCCTATGATTCTAAGGTCTGTGGAGTACATTGAGTAAAACTCTGCCTTCTTCAGCAGCACTGATGATCTCCAGCTCTCATTCATTCATGTTAATTAGCATAAATGAGTATGAATATACTGTCATATGCGGAGTTCCACATTTGGTCTTTGACAATCAGTGAAAATTAAACCAGCAATTTGATAATAGTTGACAACAGACACATGTACACTATAATGTCGAATTGATACGAACAATCACCTTATCAAATATGTGCATTAGTACCTTTGGAGTAATGTGGCTCTTACTCATGGGGAGAGAGCAAGTACTGTATACAAAGTATAAATATATATCTAAAAATACAAGAATAGCTGTTACAAAGTATTCTCTCTTGGGGTATCTGTGACAGACTTAGCCGGCAAGGCACTGAATTCTTTGTTGCGAGAGCAACAAATGAGCAGGAGGTAGAATGAAGGCAGGACTAGGCGCATGAGGATTCTTTACTGCTGTCACAGACAGTTTATGAAATTTAGTAAAGGTTATATTTGAAGAACAGAGGATGGAAAGATGCATAAGATCGTTCTCTTTTCCTGTAGATTTCACTTCTTGCATATAGAAAAAGAATTCTAAACCTTTGTTTTGGAGAAAGAAACAACATACTGGAGAATTCCTTCCATTTTGTCCCTAGACTGGGTCTTCTGACTCACAGCAAAGGCAGGATAGGGGTGGAGATGGGATGGACCAGACAGCATGTCTCATTCTGAGTTGGATTAAGTCTGGATTTGAGCAACCTTTTCTCCTCTCTACATACTTAGCGCCACTGCAGGCATCGCCAGCTGAAATTAATCTACAACAGCCTGTAAGGCTTAATGAAGTTCTGGCTGTGCCTTGCTCCAAATTAGTTCTTTGCAACTTGAGGTAATATGGAAGGCATGAAGACAATCTGACTATTCTTGAGATTTTCACAAAGCTCTCTGGAGTGTTTACTATTCTGACCTTCAGTTACAAGAATATTTTAACCTAATCTCTAGACAACCTGAATCCTAAAGCCATCTTGCAGGTTTATGTTTATGAAGGTATAAGATTTTAAGATAACCTGTATCTTTTAAAATCATTCAATATTTGTTATTAATGCTGTTCCCTCAGAGCATTTCTTGATTTGAATCCAAGGATGTGATGTAAACAGTTTTAACAGAGAGACAAGGTACATTCCCAGATACACATAGAGGATGGTAAAAGCCCACAACATTTTTACTTCCCACATTTCCTCTGCATTTTTGGAAGTCTGTCCGGGGAGAGATCCATACCAGAAATTGCTCATATCTGTCTTGAAAGTTACAGACCTCCTGGTTTGAGATTACAACACTTAGCCCCCTAAATTCTGTGTAATAAAGTTATCTACATTCCTCCTTGGTACATTTCAGGCTTATGTGAATTTGTGAGTGTTGGGATTTGAGTAATTGTAAACCGTGCCTAATGCTTAATAAAGGAATAGTTTAGATCCCCATACATGCATCCATAACATACCAGAGTTGTGCATACATATCGTGTGCTGAGACTGGATTTTTTTTATTTGAAAAGCCACTTCTGGTAATGAAAGAAAACCCTTCCCCTCTGATATTTCTGCCAGTGTGTAGCAGTAGGATGTGCAGCACTAAAGCCCAGAGGGAGACAACCTGTCTTGTTCCTGTTTTTTCTCACCTTGGTGGATCAGCCTTCCAGGCTGGCATCCCTGCCTGCCTTTATCACTGCACACAAAGGGGAGCTGTTGCTAAGCAGCTGTGGACCATGCATCACAGCCTGGTTTGAAAATGAAGAATTAACTAGATTAGTTTTGATGAAGACAAGGTACAGCTGAAGAACAAGCAGGAGAAAGGAAAAGAAGTAAAATAAAAGGCAGCTGTGATTTGCACTAGAGAACAGAGTGTTCAAACGGAAGAGGGAATTTTGGAAGCAAAATGGAAATGATGTGTGTGGCCTAAATGGAAGAAGTACATAAAGAATGAGGTGTTCTTCAGGGCAAGTGCTGTCTCTATGCTTATATATCACCTAACAGTGCAAAGCTCCAATCCAGGGGTCTTCAAGTAAACTGTCATAATAGAAACAAGTGAACAAAAAGTGTTGCCACAAAACTTTTCACCTCAGCCTCTCACTGGTCTTGACTTAAACACAGCCTCACAGACACCTTTAGTGGGAGATAAAAAACATGGAAGGAAAAGGGCTGAAATTAATTAGTTCAATTTTTTGTCCTGGGCACTTTTTACCTCCATTGACTCCTTAAGCCATGCTGGTTTGAGTGACATCAATGTTGCAGCCACCTCAGGTGACTGTGTAGTGGCTGGGAACTCACCATATATATTTTGTAACCCTAACAAAGTCATTCTGCATTCATGCATAGCTCACAGAGAATTTTTTTCAAATAAGATGTTCTGTGCTTATTAAGCATCGCCGAATCCCATTCTTTTGTATTGCCTGAATTCCTGGGCCTGAGAATCTCAATCATAGCATCCCATGAAAAAGCACGTTAGCTA